TGAACTAAGTAACCTCAAGTACTAAGGATTAAGGAAGTGATTTGGATGAGTCTGGAAACGTTAATGAACATACATGATGTAATGTTCATATGGGTCATGAACTACAAATAAAAAATGTCAGCATTTCATGATATTGTGGAAGCGTGAAAATGAAATAAAGACATTGAAAGATCTATTCAGCGATGATTCTGAAGATGATCTGGATAAGAATTTTCGGTATTAAAGAATAAATACCCTGGAAGGGTAATGGATTAACCAGTCGATAAGTATCAGTTATGGGAGTTGTTCAACTCGAGTGTTCGATATTTTGATAGATCGACACAAATCGTAAATGTTTTGAATCTTTGTTTCTTCCTTATCAGCTCAAGTTATATTCTGAATAACTGATGATTCTGTTAGTTATTGAACTATTCCTCTAGTGATTCTAAATTCTGACATTCTATCGGTAAACTGAAGAACCTTGTTTCTCTGCATAATAAGATTATCCAGTATCTCTGAAGAATATCTGATAAATATTCTGATCCTCTAGTGTGTTCCACATGTACTACATGACAGTTTTATATGTTTCAAATGAATTTAATGAAAGTATTGATTTATTGGTTTATGAACCATGTCAACATGGTATGTGATATTCGATTACGGTTTTCATCGAAAAGTATGAATTATACATGATTTATGAAATAATGGAATTTACTAGTTTATGAATTATGGTTACCTGAAATGTGTTATCCGGTTTCCTGTTTTCATTGAAAAATATGAATTGTTCATGATTTATGGAATCATGGAATTTAGTAGGTGTGCAGGTGGGTGTAAGGTTCTGTGGAACCTACACATTATGGAGTGTTGGTTGGAGGGAATAATATGATTTTTGATAAACCTTTTATGGGAGGGTGTTGTTGGAGGAAGTTATCGTTACTGCAGGCTCCTCTGCTTTGTGCTCAGAGTAAGTCCTTACTTGGTGTGTAGGTGGGTGTATGGTTCTGGGGAACCTACATATTATGGAGAGTTTGGTTGGAGGGATTAATATGGTTTTTTGAATAAAAATATGTTTTTAAACTACTACTTTTAGTAGTTTAAAAAGAAAAGATTTGTATCTCTTCACTGGTTTTATGGGAACACATTAGATAACCTATTCTGATCTCCTGAACCTAGACATCCGAAATATTTCCATCTGAACTGAAAACTCATTATTTGTTACTATCTGAAATATCAGTAGAATCTCTGATCTGCATGAAAATTCATAGATGTTCGGAACCAATAAGAAAATTTATGTTTATCTGTATCTGCACGTTCTTCAGTATCACCTGGTAGTTATGTATTACTGAGCTTTCTGAAGCTCACTCTATTACTCAACATTGCAGGTTAAGAGAATCGTACCAGTGCATCTATTGACAGTAGTAAAGGAGTTCTTCTGGCGTTGCTTGCAGAGTATATTACATGTGATTAGGGGGCATGTAATTGTATTTTTGTTTTATATGTGAGTCTAAAAATATGTTTTAATTCTATATACCGATTAATGATTTTATGAATTTACATGTTTTGATAAAAAGTTTTAAATTTTTCACTATTTTTACAGTGGGTCACTCCGATGGCCCTAATGTGACACTCCAGATCGAATCGGATTAACCGCATTGGTCTGAGGGGTTACATAACCAACTTCGTTAATCATAATATTTTATTCTTTAATCTCACATATGAATTTACTTATCGTTGGTAAATAAATTCTAAAGAAATGATAAATTTAATATAAACACATATTCCTTGTAATCACTTTAAATTATTAAAAAAATAATATAAAAATATTACAAATATTTTTAACATTTGTATGATATATGTACGTTGGGGTGTTCATAATTTGGTTAAAACTGAATTAATCGATTGAACTAAAATTTCGGTCGGGTTAATTCTGGTTCGAACGATTAACAGTTAATTTTTCAAACTTTGATTTCAATTAATTCGGTTCGAAATCGGTTATTTAACCGAATTAATTGAAATGATTAAATATTTAATATATTATATATATTATTTAGCTTTAAGGTGTTTAAACTTCGGTTTTAACCGAATTAATCGAATAAATCAAAACTATTAAATATTAAATATATAATATATATTATTTATAAATTTCAGTTACTTCGGTTAACCGATCAATTAACTGAACTTAGCTCAGTTAGATTAATAGTTAAAGTGAAAAAAATCGGTTAATGAAATTTGAGTAATTTGGTTCGGTCGATTAATCGAATTTGAATATGTCTATGTGTATATTATCAATGATTAAGAAAAATTTTAAACAAATACTAATACTTATAATCTTTTTAAATTTATTTAAAATAAATAATATAAAAATATTTTTTTAAAATAAAAATATAAAATATATTTAAATCAATCAATGATTTATATGTACCATAAAGGTGCATTTGGTTCATGGAATGTAGCATTACCTCCGGGAATAGGATTACCGGAATGTAACATTACCTAACACATTACTGGGAATGTTGTATTGTTGTGTTTGGTTCGTTTAGCAAAAATGTAAGATTACAGTGTTTGGTTAAAGGAATAAAAGATTATTGAAATATATATTTTATCAAATTGTCCTTATTATATATTGGTTTTTTAACAAGTTGAATTGTAAATATTAAAATGAAAATATTTTTATAAAAGATCTTACAAAATATATAATTTTACTATTTTTAATTTATATATATATTTTTAAAATATTTTAATTCATCAAATTTATATAATTTTTTTACAAAATTTAAAAGATAAATAAGTTTAATGAAAGAGTTTAATTTTATTTTAACCCATCAACTTAATATAAAATTCTAATTATTGATTTTTTTGTAAATCTAAAATAGTTTAAAGATAAATTTACAATTTAACCTTTGTAGATTTTTATTCAACAAGAGAAGAATGATACTTTTGAAGGAAAAAAATTCTGTTAATGGTATTTTAGTCTAAAATATCGGGAATGTAATAATACCTAAGAGATTGGGGATATCATATTTCTAATAATAAGCCTCCAAAATATAACTATTGATAATAATTTATTATCGAGAGTTGAGAATCTTTATAATCGAAATGGAAAATCACATTTCAAAAAAAATATTCTCCCGATAATCTCATATACCTTCCAAACGCACCTTAGATTTATGAACTTTACCGGGAATGAATTCGGGCATCCAAAAGTGAGGATGATTCTCCTTTACTTACCTTGGAAGACTTTCTCTGTGGTGATGACTGTCTTTTCAACTTTTCTAGAGGGTTAGTTTACAATGCCAAGCAATCTCAAGAATTGGGATTTCCAATTGAAGACAGAATTCTTCTTTATCTTCGGCTTAGCCCCAAACCCACGAGGCTTGACGCAGTAAACGACTTTAGACGAGTTTGAATATTTCTGAACTCTATTTAATTCGAAAAATATAAATTTGAACTCGACTCAGTTTAAAAATTCACGAGCTTAAAATTATTAAATTTGACTTAAATTCAAAATACAAAAAAAATTAAAGTTTGATTCGACTCGAAAACTCGCAAGTTTAAAAATTTTAAACTCAACATAGAATAAAAAATCGAAGCTTTATTCGAGCTCAAAAACACTTGAACTCAAAATATTCTCGGACTTAGCTCGATTGAAGCTTAAACTCGAACTTGTACATAAACCTTAGGTACAAAAAGTCTTATATTGTATTTTAGAAAAACAACTTATAAATTGTAGGCAAAAAGGTATACGAGGTCATTGAATTTTTTTTAAAATAATGTGCCCATCAAATTATTTTTTCATATGTAGCTCTCAAACTCAAAAAAAAAAAACTTGATGTATTAAATAATATTTTTTTTGAAATGCTCACGAGTTTTTAGAGTCGGGTATTAAGTTATTCGTTTCGACTTTCTAAGAATTCGAGTCAAATTCAAATTTGAGTCAATTACATTCGATTTGAGAATTGACAAAACTTTAACCGAATCGATTCGAGTAACTCGCAATATTTATATTAATATACAATAAAATAATTTGACTTTCAAGTAAATGAATTTAAATTTAAATTAAATTAATATAATAAGCTATAAAAATAATAAACTAAGATGCGATACTAACATTATTAAAATATAAAATAATACCAAAAATCCCAATGTCCTTGATAATCTACGTAACACAAGAAGCTACCAACGTAAGTTGGTCATGTGCCATTTGTTCAACCAACGCACTTCTACTATTCCCCGTCTCGTTTCCGTTTTGGAGGGAATGCCTTACCCTTTGGTTGACCCAACGGGGTTTCCGCTTAGCAAAGAGTTCCGAGCCAACGCACTCTCAAACAAACAAACAAACAAGAAGAAGAAGAAAAAAGCCATGGAAAATGTTCTCACCTTTCCCTTCTCTTTATCTCCTTTTACTTTTCTTCTACATTTTTTTCGTTTTTCGACAAACAACATTCCAAATTCATGCTAATTTTTTTTTAATTTTAATTTTTGAGTTTTGAAATTGTACTTATCGTGAATGAGCGGCATTATTGAAATTGATGCAGAGGCTGCTGATCGGTTCCTTTCGTGACCTGTTTGGTATGTGATTTTCTGATTCTGAGTTATCAGAGTAGTATGGCTACTAAAAGGGATGAATCATCTCTGATACTACAGGTTTTTTGTTATTCTCTCTATCTTTTTTCTTTTTCTTGAGAAATAAGTAGAGAACTAAAGTTTCTGTTCTTCACGGAGATTTAAGTTCAACTCTTTCCTCAGAAAATACAAAACAAACGAGACGAGGCGACCCAAGCGCTCTGTCTTTACCTTCTGTTAATTTTCTCTTCGCTTATAGAAGATTTTGTGTTCATAAATAGAAAAAAAAAACTACTGTGATTTAACTTCATTTAAAAAAATCCCTGTTCAGAAAATGACTATCAAAAAGGAAGACTCGTCTCAAGCACAACAAGTATTTTTCCTTTCCCTCTTTATTATTATTTTGGATTTTTTGGGTTTTGATTCTGATGGTGTGGGTGTAATTTTGTTGGCAGAAGATGGGTGCCAAAAGGGAAGAGCGGGATCCGTCTCAGGTATAGCTCAATCTTGCTTTCTTAATTGATTCATTCTTTTAAGAAAGTATTTCAACTATCAGGAGAAAACAGAAGATAGATTTTGTGTTGAAAATCAATTTTGTTTTCTGTTGAAGGGAGATGCTGCTGCAACTCAAAGTCCATCCAGCAAACCAAGCCAGCCATATGGAAATACAGTAAACTGCTCGCTCTCCTCCATGAATTATTACTTAATATTATGAATTTAGAATTGTCGATTGAGAGTAAATCATCATGCAGTGATCTTTGTTTTCACCAAGATCATGTTGGCATTTATCTTTGCGTATCACTTGTTAACATCTTATGTCCTTGGGACTCGAGGGATGCCGTTATGCACCATTTCATGGAAGAATTGCCTATATCAGTTATTCTCTGCTTATTATCAAGCATGCTGCAACTTGCAACTTTTTTTTTTGTATATTTGGCGGTATATTTTAGCTGTTACAGGTCTCTTTGACAACCCATTGAAATACATTAAAAATTTAATGATTTAATATTTCAAGCATTATTGATAATCTAAATTAAAACTATCTGTTAGAATTTTTTTCAATGAAAAAACTTGGAAAATGTTAAGTAGACAAGGACCTACTTATAACTCAATCGAGAATATTTCCAATATTTATTGTTTTATTTTTTAAGTATATTAAAATTTACATTTACCAAATATTCTAATTATATCATGTATTTAATTTGGATGCACTAGAAGGAATTCTGTTCTATATTTTAAGTGCTTTATTAGATTTCACCTCATGGGATCATTACTTAATATTGTGTTGCATCATTGCATGCAATGTTTTCTTAAACATGGAATTTGCAAAATTATAAAATTTGGTGCATTTTAAGGGTTTTAAACTTTCTTGTAGGTTTTAAAGAGTGGGCCACTTTTTATATCATCCAAAGGTCGGGTTATTTGCTTTTGCAATTAAATTCAGTTTCTCATTTGCCTTTCATTTTATATTTTTGTGAAGCACATTTTTGACTTAAATTGTACTGCAATTGAATTCTACTTAAATTCAGTTCCATTTTAATGGCTGATTCCTATGGATTTATGCTATTTTCCCTATTTTTCTTTGATTATAGGAATTGGGTGGACATCATGGAAAAAAAGATGGTTTATATTGACACATACTTCATTGGTTTTCTTCAGAAGCGATCCTGTAAGTAATTGTACTCTGGTAGCTTGTCCGTCTCAACTCTCAACATGGATGCTTTTGCTTGCTTATCCATTTTTAACATAACTTGTTGCTCTTTTCTTGGTACAATAATTGAATTATCAGAAAGAAACAGTAAAAGATAAAATAACGTGTTGTTTTTCCAACCACAACATTTTAAGATCCTCGAAGTGATACTAATTTGCGGTGATTATCTTTTATGTGCTACTTCTCTCCTACACGCTTCTATTTCTTGAGTTTCATACTCCCTTTTATAAATGACCATAAGTGGTTAAAATATATGGCAATCAAAAAGAAAATGAAACTCTCATGTATATTTCATAGCTTTTGTAGTTTTTAGATCGTCTTTGGACACTATGCATATTTATGTGATGTTAAATCATGTCGCATATTCCTGTTTATCCAACTATCGACTCTAATGAATCATCTTCATATAATTTTTAATTTTGAGATAAGTATCCTGTTACAATTGAAATTATTATTTACGTCTATTGCTGCATTTTGTATACATCAGGTCTTAGAGGATTAATCTACTGTTGTTTTACCTCTCAGAATTCCGATTCTCAGAAGGGGAATGAAGTGAATTTAACTCTAGGAGGTATTGACCTCAACAATACAGGCAGGTTGGCTTGCATTTCTTAAAAGATCATCAATCCTTGGTCTCTTCTTCAAGTTGCAAATATCATCAAAGTTGGAATTACTAACTTGTGGTACCTTTCAACATTTCTAGTGTGGTTGTCAAAGCTGATAAAAAGCTTATAACAGTCCAATTTAATGATGGCCGTGACGGACGAACCTTCACACTCAAGGTTCTTCATCTATATTCTCTCTGTGATTCTTCTTTTTATTGTTTTAAACCATAGTTTCCTCAAACTGTTTGCACGAGTGGTTTTTCAGATCAATGGCCCTTTAGTTTTACATTTCCTTAGCCTTGATAAATTAGTCGTGAGTTTTCTGTTTGAACAGCACATTGTCATGATTATGCCAAAACAGTAGGTCATGATGGTTCCTTTTGTTGATGTTGCAGGCTGAAACAATGGATGACTTGTATGAGTGGAAAGCTGCACTTGAGAATGCTTTGTCCCTAGCACCAAGTTCTACTAATGCGACGGGACAAAATGGCATTTTCCAAGCGGATGCAGGTGATGGTTCCAAGGAACCAGGTATCTGTAACCTTGTTCTTGACTTTGGCTGTCAAGTTGTTTCTTGAATGTACTGAGTTTCTAACTTGGTCGGCTGCTTGGATTTTTTTATCCTCTCTTTCGAGATATTGATGTTCTTCTCTGTGTCTTTGTTAGTCAATGATAAACCGCCTGCAAGATCTGCAGTCATGGGCCTACCGATTTTACTTGCCCTGGAAGAGGTTGATGGAACTCCAACATTTATGGAGAAGGCACTTAGATATATAGAAAAGTATGGTAAGTTTTTCTTTTCTTTTCTGCAATCTCATTTAAGTAATATTCTAAATTTCTTTTCTGAAGTATTTTTATTCATTTTCTTTGAGCTACTTTTAATCATGTTTAAATAAATCAACAGGTGTCAAGGTAGAAGGGATCTTACGACAAGCTGCTGATGTAGAAGATGTCGAGCTCCGAATTCGGGAATATGAACAGGGTTTGTTCTGATAATCTCTTTGCTTATTGAACAGGATAGAGCAAGAAACACAAGCTACTTAATATACTTATAGTTCTACCGCACGATATTCTCTATTCGGCCTTCTTCTAACCCTTCTAACTCTTTCTTTTCAATGCAGGAAAAACTGATTTTAATTCTGACGAGGATGCACATGTCATTGCTGATTGTGTGAAGGTATGCCGTATTAGTTTCCGGAAGATTCTTTCATTTAAGTTGCAAGATATACTGGTCCTGGTACTTTTTTGTTTGATTAGTCATGCCATTTTCCAGTATATCATCAGAGAGTTGTCATCACCTCCGGTTCCTGCATCATGCTGCAATGCACTACTAGAAGCATGCCGTAAGTTTTTTTTTCAAGTGTTCTTTTTTTTCCTTTTTACACTGTAACAAATTAAGTTGATGACATGCGTCAATACATACAATTCGTACAATGATTAGGAACTCAGCGTGGTTCTAGAGTTGATGCTATGCGGGCTGCAGTGTTGGACACATTTCCTGAGCCGAACCGTCGATTGTTACAGAGGTAATCAATTCACCACTGTTAGATTAACCATGAATTCATTTTGCTACAGAAACTATTAGGGTGCCTTGGAATGCTGTTCTTGTAAACAAGAGCATTTACGTGGAAAGAATGGGATTCTTTCTTACTTCCATAATCACAATATCACCCTCATTCTTCTGCATTTTGGCTTCTAGTTGTCTTTATCGGTATTTTAATTTTCTTGTTCCTTCGTTTCAGAATTCTAATGATGATGCAAACTGTGGTTTCTCACAAAAAGGAAAATCTAATGAGCACTTCAGCCGTGGCGGCATGCATGGCACCATTACTTCTTCGCCCCCTTCTTTCTGGTGATTGTGAGATTGAAAACGATTTTGATGTGGGCAGTGACGGTTCATTGCAATTGCTACAAGCAGCTGCTGCAGCCAATCATGCTCAAACCATTGTTATAACATTACTGGAAGAGTACGATCATATATTTGGGGTGAGCTCTAATTCTCTCTTTTTTTCTCAACTCTTCTGATATGGCTTTCTGTAGTCAGTATACAAACATGTATGAATCCCATAAATCTACAAGGCTTTTATCTTTAATTCAGAATCGATATGTTCTGTTTTATATCCGTTCTTTTCGAGCAAATTTGATCGTTAAGTAGAAGTTATGTTTTTGTGGAGTGTGTAATGTGGTATTTATTGATGTAGAATCTAAAGCGACTAGATTATGACCGTCTAATGGTGGAATGTGAATGGAGTGGTTGTGATCCTCTTATAGAATTCTGTACTGTGCTATTTTTTTGGCAGGAAGGTTCTGTTGCCTCTGATTTATACACTGATACGGATGAGAGTGCAACTGGAAGCGAGGAAGAAGACGACGACAATGATGATGATGACGACGACGACGATGACGAGTCCAATGAAGAAGATGAATCTTGTGAAGACGACGACGATGCAACGGAAGGGTCTGATGTATCCAATGATGATGATGCAAGTGAAACAGGCACTGAAAGTGGTCAATCTGTTACCAATGATCGGGATGTCAATAAGGTTTGTTCCTCCACGGCACCGTCTACAGTGGCATTTACATTCTATGATTCATAAATTTGAAAAGAGAAATATTCATAAAAAGATAATGCACTGAATATAAAATTGCAGGATTCCAGTTCTTCGAGCTCAAGTTCCGAGTCCTCTGAATCTGGTGATGATGCAAAAGCCACCAAGAAGATTTCAAGTTCAGTTAACAATCCACCATCTGAAAATGATGATTCGAAAAGGAGTAAGGATCGTCATGATCCAACCAATTTGGAGGACAAGGCTCACCAAAATCAAACCCCTGGCAACCAACAATCAACAACTGTTGGGAGTGGACCTGGCCGGAGAGCTAGGCGTAATGCTGTCTGGGGACGTACCGCTGTAAGTGATTGTTTTCTGCATTTATGATGTGTTATGCTTTTGGACTAGTTCGTTGGAATCTCTCTATTAGCTAATAACCATTTCTAAGTTTGAATCTAGCAATTACTGATTGTTTAATTTACTTGTCTAGGCAAGGAAGAACCTTTCAATGGAAACCATGGATATTCCAATTGAAGAAGAGTAAGCAATGCACCCATGATATGCATGTAAAAACTTGTATAAATTTGCATACAATTCAACTATGCAATACTAACTAAAAGTTGCATGCCTCTGTTGAAGAATTCTTTCATGCTTAGGATGAAGCAATCGATCCTTTTCTATTTTTTTTTTATACCTAATTTGACCTTCTTTAGGATTGAAATCGAGACGCCCGAGGCTAAAAAATCTAACTCACAAAACAGACACAAAGAAGAGGTTCTGCTGCATATCCACCTTTCAAATTATTAATATCATCATCTCATCTTGCATGAAGACTTTTCATTACTAGTCATCTTTCTAATATAGATTGAAGGTAATGCCAAGCTCGAAGCCAGCATGGAAAAACGAAACAAGACGCTGCAGGATCGTTGTCTATGTCTCGAGAAAGATGTATGTTTGTCGGGATCATTTTCTTAAGTTTTTTTCCGTTTCATCCATTAGTATCTGTAGCATCAAAGATGTATGTTTGATTGTGCTTATAGGTAGCAAGATTAAAGGAAGAGTTGCAGAGGGAGAGAGATAAGAGGACAGCTCTCCTAACGGGGCTTAACTCGTCTCGAGAACCTCCAGTTCTCCCTGAAAAGATTGACGAAAAGGTACCCAGCGGCCTACCTCTGACTTAATCTACTGCACCTAATATTAATTTTTGCATCAAACTTTAACTTGCTGTGTGTTATGAAGACAAAGGCAGATCTCAAGGACATAGCTCAAGCAGAGGCAGACATAACCAATTTGAAAAATAAGGTTGAAGATCTGGAGATGCAGCTTAAACAAAACCAACAATTAGACCATTCCGTACATGACACCAATGTACGAACGCGGCAGAGAATGATTCAAAGAAATCCCAAACTTCACGGATCAAATCAAATAGATTAGATAATTCATTCAAGTTGAAGTTGATCGGGTTGGTTTAAGTCTTGGGTTATCATGTACGAATTTCTGGTCATCGGGTCAAGTATATGGATCGACCAAAACAAATTAGGCTTAGTTGAGCTTGGTAGTTGGGTCTAGGTAAAGCATAGGCTCGAGTGCAAGTCCAATAGCGATTGATTCAGATTAGACAAACAAGTCTGGACAAACTGGATTCATCAAATTACTTGGTTGTAAAATTGGTCTTGGGCTCAACCGATAATGTTCAAAATTCGACTCAACTCAATTTAAAAATTATGGGTATCATACATAATCACAAAATCACCGAAGAGACTAATTATTTTATTTTTAAAAATCTTATTAGACAAAACCGTTAAAATATAATCTTCTCGTTATAATAACGATGATGATGAGGTCGGATTTTATGTTGATTTGACCAGATAGACTCAAAAAAATGATATAGATATGGGAATTTCACCATTTGTTTTCTTATATTGTTGACTTGCTTAGATTATCTTTGTAGGTAGCATGTTCAATCACCATCTTCTTGTCCATTGCCTGCAAAGTATAATGCGAAAGGAAAAGGTTACACTACAATTGAAATTTGTGGTTACTTTATGAATGAAACAAGGTTTACTAATAAATTTGGATCATGGAAAATATTTTTTAGTGTAAGATATTTGTTAATGTAACAGCCTCTTTGGCTAACTATAGTTGTGATGGTTTCATTAGTTATGGTGATCTTTATATGGCTGCAACTCATAGTGTAGGTGAAAACGTTCTTGGAGGAACGGTGTCTCTAGAATCAATCACAAATATTATCTTTATATGCATGTCGTTTAAAAGATGGGGATACAGGTCTGAGGATTTGCCAACTCAATCCTCTTGATCAAAGAATTCAGACAGTGAAGTAAAACAGTAAAATGAACAAAGTTGAAAGATTGAGAAAGAAGGTTGCAGCAGCACAGAAAATAAAATGAAGACCCACATAAAATCATTATTTTCACAATGATCCATGATGCACATTCAAAATATTTTGAATAGGGGTTTTATTGGGAAAAAAGGTTTTCCATTAATGAGCATAGAAATATGCAAGAGTGGGGGAATTGGTTTGGCCAACTGAATGTTGTTCGAGGAAAAAGTAGTATTACTATGGATCTTCTGGGATGTCGTATAAATTTTTAACAATCAAGGCCAAGAAAAAAACTTTAAAAACGTCGCCTGAGAGATTCGAACTCTCGCGGGGAGCCCCATGTACTTAGCAGGCACACGCCTTAACCACTCGGCCAAAGCGACGTTTGATAATAGAGGAGATACTAAAACAATTATAATACTATTTTAAATAAAAAATAGAATTTATCGAAACACATCGATTGTAACTTGGTGTTGGTTTCTGGACCTCAGAGATGCAACTGGCACGTAAATTATGGACCTCAGCTGGGAACTTCATTCCATGGCTATGGTCGTCAATTCCATCTTTGTTGTGGCCATCATCCTCTGCAACTTCACTTGTTTTTGTTAAAATGAAGTCTGGGCAGAATTATATTTTATTCCTCATACTTTCAATTACAACAAATAGGTCCTTTATATAAACAAATTCCTGTAACTAACTCAATAACTAACATCTAACAAACTAACAGAATGTGTAACAATATTTAAAAACAGTTAACACTTTTCTACACTTCCCCTCAAGTTGGTGGTTGTAAAGAGGTCTTTAATCCCCAACTTGGAAACAAGATATTCATGTTGATGTACACCCAAGGCTTTAGTCATCAAATCTGCTTGTTGTTCTCCTGTCTTAATGTGTTCTGTTCGTATCAAGCCTTCTTGAATCTTCTATCTGACAAAATGACAATCTATCTCAATGTGTTTGGTTCTCTCATGGAAAACTGGATTTACTGCTATTTGCAAGGCTGCTTTATTATCACACTATAGCTTAGCTTGTGCTATGTTTTTCAACCCCAATTCTCCCAACAAACCCTTCAGCCAAACTATTTCTGCAGCCGTCCCTGCCATGCTTCTATATTCAGCTTCTGCAGAGGAGCGTGCAACAGTGTTTTGCTTCTTGGATTTCCAAGAAATTGGAGACATTCCAAGCTTAATGCAAAAATCAGTTATAGATCTTCTAGTCATAGGGCATGCAGCCCAGTCAGAGTCACAATAGGCAATTAATCTGCACTCACTCGTAGCACTTAATAAAATCCCCTGCCCTGGATTTTTCTTGATGTATTTTACCACTCTCAATGCAGCTTCAAGATGTGAGTGTTTTGGTTTATGCATAAACTGACCGAGGAAATGAACAGCATAGACAATGTCTGGCCGTGTGTGAGTCAGATATATTAGTCTACCTATAAGTCTCTGAAAAACAGTTTTGTCTTGCAACAGTTGTTCATTACTACAAACTGTTTCATCATACTCAACTGTGGTTAACTTCTTGTTCTGCTCTAGATGAGTCAAGGCTGGTTTAGCTCCCCCTACTCCAGTTTCTTCAATCAGCTCTAAAGCATACTTCCTTTGATTCAACACTATCCCTGCTTTTGACCTTAACACTTCTAATCCTAGAAAGTATTTCAACTCTCCAAGATCCTTCATTTTGAAGTTCTTATTCAAAATATACTTTAGTTCTGCTATCAATACTTCATTACTACCAGTAATTAAAAGATCATCAACATACACCAATAAAACAACTATATCACTACCTTGCTGTTTTGTGAACATTGAGTAGTCATATTTGCTCTGCATGTAACCAACCATAAGCAAAGCTTCTGTTAGCTTCAAATTCCATTGCCTAGAGGCTTGTTTGAGTCCATAAAGAGATTTATGCAGCCTACACACCTTAGACTCCCCCTGGCTGAAAAAACCATCAGGTAGTGTCATATAGACTTCCTCAACCAGGTCACCTTGCAAGAACGCATTGTATACATCCATTTGGTAAAGAGGCCAAGAAAAAATTGATGCAACAACAAAGATAGTTCGAACAGTGACCAGTTTAGCAACTGGGGAGAAGGTATCCACAAAGTCAACTCCTTCTTTTTGATTGAACCCTTTAGCAACAAGGCGAGCTTTGAAACGTTCAACATCACCATTAGCCTTGTACTTGATTCGGTAAACCCATTTGCACCCTATTGGAATTTTCCCTGAAGGCAGGGTGACTATAGACCAAGTGTTGTTTGATTCCAAAGCATCAATCTCTTCCTTCATGGCTTGGATCCAAAGAGGGTTAGTAATGGCTTCATAATATGTTTTTGGTTCACTTAAATGAGAGGTGGAAGATAAGAAAACCTGAGTTTTAGAGGGTAAGTGAGAATAAGAAATGAAATTAGAAATATGATACTTACTTGGAAGATATGAAGATTGGTAGGAATGAACATAGTCATGTAGCCAATTAGGAGGTTTGACAACCCTAGTGGACTTTCTTTGAGGTGGACACTGATTTTCAGGTGGAGCAATGAAACGAGAACTTGGGCTTGATGGGTGAATTGGTGAACCAGTTGAAACTTGAGGTGATGCAGAAGAAGAAGAAGAAGAAGACATATTAGGTAAGACATAATTTATAGGAGTAGATGAGGCAGAAATTTCAAGGGTAAGAAAATCAGAATCAACAATGGGAGGTTGAGGAGGGAAAAAGGGAGAAGGCTTGTTTAATGGGAATGAGAAGGGAAATATAGTTTCATGAAAGACCACATCACGATTGACAAAAAAAGATCTTGAATGAAGATCAAAAAGGAGATAGCCCTTTTGGGTTGATGAATAACCCATAAAAACAGAAGGAGAAGCCTTTGGAGAAAATTTGTCTTTATAGTTAACTTTGGTTGCATAACAGAGACAACCAAACACTCTCATATGAGAAAGATTCGGTGACTTGTGATAAAAGATTTCAAACGGACTTTTCCAGTTTAGAATGGCAGTAGGAAGCCTATTAATGATATAACAGGCAGTAAGAACACACTCACCCCAAAATCTAATGGGCACATGAGAATGAAAACGAAGAGCACGGGCTACCTCTAAAAAATGTTTGTGTTTGCGTTCAGCAACCCCATTTTGTTGGGGTGTATGAACACAAGAGCTTTGGTGAATAATGCCAAGTGAAGAGAAAAGCTCAGAACAATGATCACTAAAAAACTCACCACCATTATCACTACGAATATACTTAACTGAAGTAAAATGGTAATTTTGAACAAGCGCAAAGATTTGTTTAAGAAATAAAAAAGCATCACTCTTAAGTTTCAACAGGTAAACCCAAGATAGCCTAGTATGATCATCTACAATAGTTAAAAAGGATCTATGACCACTATGTGTTGAAATTCTATAGGGGCCCCACAAGCCAACATGAATCAAATCAAAGGGTTTAAGTGACCTAGATGAGCTAATAGGAAAAGGCAATCTTGACTGTTTTGCAAGAGGACACACAAAAACATTGTTTAACAGTGTTTTCATTCAAAGAAAGAGAACTCAAAAAAGGAGTTTTATGCATTTTGACAGAAGTGGCATGCCCTAAACGTGCATGCCAAAGCATTGTATTATTAGAAGAAGAAACAGTCATACAACTAGAATCAACCTTTCATTTTGATGGTGACAAAATCAAAACTAAAATGTGTGGATGACAAACCAGAAACAAGGCCCTTGGAATTAAACATGTAGAGACCATGAGCCTGCCTACCAATCCCCCTCATCTTCCCAGTGAAGAGATCCTGCAAAACACAAAAACGAGGGTAAAAAATGATACTGTAATTGAGGTCTTTGGTTAATTTTGACACTGACAGTAGATTATGATTGAAATCAGGAACATACAGAACATTTCGAATGACATCAGTTGAGTTAAAATGAAAGTTACCAGTATGGGTAATGGGAACTGTTTTACTAGTAGGCAAATGGACAGAACTAGGCTTACACGAATTAAGAGACTGTAAACAATGGATATCAGACACCATATGGTCAGTAGCCCCTGTATCAAGGATCCAACAAAGGGAATTATCAGAAGCAGGTAAGCATTTAGAAGTGATGCCTGCGAGATTGACAACAGCATCAACCGATGGAGGTTTATTTAAGAGCTCAAGTATTTGGTGATACTGGGATGTTGTGAAGACTGGAGCAGACTGAACTGTACTGAAACCACCAGATTGTAAATCATGATCAGATTCAGGTAACGAGATATTGGTAGCAAGAGCTGCCTGAGGATTCTTCTTTTTTGTGAACTTGAAATCAGGAGGAAACCCAATTAAGCGATAGTAGTTGTCACGTTTGTGGCCTTTGACTTTACAGAAGTCACAAACACCAGTGAAACGCCTTCGATCAGAATTAGCATACGTATTGGACTACATAGCTGTGACTCCCGAAACAAGAGACAACTGAGCTCGTTGTGCCTCTTCTTGCACAATCATAGAGTATGCTTGATTCACGCTTGGCAGAGGCTGCATAATGAGGACTTGACTGCGAATAGCAGAGTAAGTCTCATTGAGACCCATAAGGAATTGCAACAGCTTTTGCTGTGCAATATGCTTGGAATTTTGTTGAGAAACTTCACAATTACAGGCCGAAAGAGGGACTAGGGCATGATATTCATCCCAAAAAAGTTTTAATCGTGTAAAATAAGCTGAAACAGTAGAACCACCTTGGCTTAGAGTGGCAATTTCACGATGCAAAAAGAAAATTCTGGATCCATCTACCTTGTCAAAACGTTCTTTCAAATCTGTCCAGACGTGAGCAGCGCTTGAAGCAAACACGATTCCAGCCGAGAGATCACTGCTGACCGTGTTGAGAATCCAGGAAAGGACGAACGCATTACAGCGTTCCCACTGAGAGTGCAAGAACTCATCGTAGTCCTCTTTGCAGCAGGTGCCATCAACAAAACCTAATTTGTTTTTCGCCAGCAACGCAATCCTCATAGAGCGGCTCCATAAGTTGTAATTGTCAATGCCAACCAGGCGATGAGAAACGAGAACGCCTCCAGGTGTATCAAACGGGTGTAGAAACAAGGGATGGCTAAAATCAAGAACGGCGGTGGTGTCAGGGGTATTCATCTCGTCAAGAGAAATAACAGAGAGCAAAACCTAATCAAGAGGAGAGGATTGTGGGTGGAAGGAAAAAACACGGGAAGAGTGAGGACGACCCAAGAATAACCTGGGCTAAACTGATACCATGTTAAAATGAAGTCTGGACAGAATTATATTTTATTCCTCATACTTTCAATTACAACAAATAGGTCCTTTATATAAACAAATTCCTGTAACTAACTCAATAACTAACATCTAACAAACTAACAGAATGTGTAACAATATTTAAAAACAGTTAACACTTTTCTACAGTTTTAACTACAGTCGTCGGCATTTCTTTAGCTCTCCAACAATCCTTGCCTACACTTTCCTCTAAATCCGTCATATCTGCTATTTCAGTGAAGGCATCATGCCGCCTTGGGCGATGATCTGCTCATCTATCTTGGCTAGCTCTCTTAATTTATACAACGTAAGACATTACTCCTTGGATAGGCTGTTATTTCCCAATATGAATGTCGAACAATAGTTCTCTTGAAGCAGTGCTTAATTCCATTGGTGTTGCAGGTTTACTACTGAAAATGGACGTCGGTATCTCATTCGGTAAAAATCATGTGTTCCATGATCGAAACAAACACATTGACACAACATATTGCAAGGCTCTATAATAGTTTTATACATTATAAATTATACTCTTAATTACGGATATGAATTTAACGTAATTTTTCATTATATTATTAGTTTTATACATTATACATTATACTCGTAATTACGGATATGAACTTAACATATTATTAGTTTTTCTTGATAAATATTCATTTCTTTTCTAAATTATATGATTGAAATCAAATTTATTTTTATTATATGATAATGAAGTATAATATATGATTAACTATTTACTTTAAAAAAATTCAAGTTAAACTGATTAATCATTAAATTGAAAAGGCAAATTATAATATTTTTGATAAAATAAAATGATTTAATTAAAAGAATTGATTGTTCAATGTGTATGAATCAATCGTTCTAAATTTAAACGTCACATATAAATATTTATTATAAAATAATTATAAATTTCTAAACACATATTATTTTGTATATACTTTAAATTTATAGAAAAAATCATTTAGTCTGTGATAAAATAATGCAGTTTGATTTGTTCGCTTTCTTTTATTATTTTGCTATAAAAGAAATTTTATCTGTCTTGTATTTTGTATTTTTATGGTTCCATCCCTCTCACCATCTTTATCTCCCACAGGCTTTCTCCCCCCACATCCCATCCTCCTTCCCATCCCGACTTGTTCCTTCTCTTGTTCTTTTCTTACCCATTTTTTTTATAAATATTTTCTCTTATTTTATCACAAATCCCCACATCCAAAAATCCCTACCCCATAACATGAAACGTGAATATGTAGAACCCAAAAATGAAATCCCCAACGCCATGTTCTCAACGCTCCACCACCAAAACCACCCTTTCTCTCATCACTTCTCTCAAACCCTCGAATCCGATGACACCGCCTCCAACAACCAACACTCCTCTCTTCCCAGTGGCGATGGTTCTATTGAAGTCGTTCGTAGACCTAGAGGTCGTCCTCGGGGTTCAAAAAACAAGCCCAAGCCCCCCCTAGTCATAACTCGTGAATCTGACCCTTCAATGACTCCTTACATCCTCGAAATCCCTGGAGGAAACGACGTCGTCGGAGCTATCTCCCGCTTTACATGTCGGAAAAATATTGGCATTTGCGTGGTTACTGCTTCCGGTGCCGTTTCCAATATAACGCTCCGTCAACCTTCGAGCACTCCAGGAGCTACCGTAACTTTTCATGGTAGATTCGACATATTATTGTTCTCCGCCACTCTCCTCTCCCAAACGACGTCGTGTCACGTGCCCAACACGTTCTCCATCTCCTTAGCGGGTCCTCAAGGGCAGGTCATCGGAGGGTTCGTCTCTGGCTCCTTGGTAGCAGCTGGCACGGTGTTTATAGTAGCGGTTACTTTTAACAACCCTTCATATCATCGGTTACCTGGAAGAGAAGAAGAAGAAGAAGCGAGGAATACGCTGCCGTCAGGTGGTGGCGGTGAAGGACAGTCGCCGCCCTTGTCTGGTGGCGGGGGAGACAGTGGTCACGGTGGTGGTGGGGCAGATTCATGTGGGGTTTCGATGTATAATTGTCATTTGGGCGGTTCGGATGTCATTTGGGCTCCAACGGCAAGACCACCACCACCTCCACCGCCTTACCGACGACTATAAACTTCAAAGTTTTAACCTTTTAGTTTATTTTCCATCAAAGCAGTTCACATCTTTTTCTTCTTCTGTATTACGTGGTAATTTGTATTTCTGTTTCATCAAATTACCGTTAATAATCTCTGTTTAAATTTGAACTTTGAATTGTTAACTGTTTTTCTTTGTTAGTATTACTTTTCTTTAATATCATACATCAAAATCAAACTTTTTCTTCTGGGTTTTACATGTTAGATATCTATATTGCATTAGCAGACTCTTCAATATTCGAGAGGCATTGCATCGCTTTGAAGTTTGAAAATTTGATCCATCATTCACACAGATCACTGCAGCTGCAACACTGACTGACAGATAATGCAGCTGAGTTGAGATTCGATTCGAGTCATCTTTGTTTGTTTTGGGGAGTGAGTTTCTTCGTATGGAAAAAGTGTAATCCAGAAGAAAACATGGATAGGGTTATGGCTGCCAGTTTTCTTTTCATTACTGCTACTCACCGTTGCTTTTTATCCCTCTATATATGTGTGTGTGTTATTGAATGCTCTTTCCAGCTGCCCCACTTAGAAATAGTATTATATTTCTCATTTTTCCTTTTCTTTATTATATTTAGCGTAAAATATAGTAATGGCCATGAACTTTTCTGAAGCTTGCATTTAGGTCTCCCAACTTTTAAAACTTGCAATACAATTCTTCAACATTTAGTCCGTTTGCAATATGGTCTCCAACGTAACCGACCATTTGACGCCGTTACATTGCCGTTAGAAGAAGATGACATGGCAGTCCTCCAACATTTAGTCTATTTGCAATATGGTCACTGAACTTTTCATGTGCTTGCATTTAAGTCCTCTAACTTTTAAAACTTATAACACATTCCTCAATTTCATTCTAAACCCCAAATTCCAAAATAATTCAATTACATTTTAAACCCAAATTTTAAAATACCTTATTTTAGGGTTTAGAATGTAATTAAAGTATTTTAGAATTTAGGGGTTTTAATGTAATTAAAGTGTTTTGGAATTTGGAACATTAATTTGTTATTTGACAGTTTCTACTTTAATATAAATTTGAAGTTTGTTGCATGCATATCTAACGGCTACCGCACTTTGAACATGAAAAGTGTACATATCACGTTTATTGCATAAACCGTTGAAGTAAAAGTAACAAGGCCAATTTGTCTTGTTCGTAGTTGTCACACTTTGGTATGACAGTCCAATAGGTTTGGATGGAACTTGAGCATGCTCATCCAACAGATGCGAAAATAGTAAAGATTTTTAGTTCATATGACTACAACATACAACCAAGCAATAACTAAAATAAACAAAGAATGTCAATTAATAACTCGTTCAAAAGGAGGACTTAATAAATAAAGGGAAAGAAGTTCGATCATAGTCACTCCAAAAGCTAAGGCGTCAAATGGGTTGTTTAAGATATACAATAGATGCCAAATAAAACATTACCAATTGCAAATTCATTAATAGCCTACCTTTTTTATATATAATTGCTTCTAATGCTCCACGTTTTATATTCCTCAATAGACAAACATGATGAGAATCTAAAGCAGATAGTGGATCTAAAATCATAGGACCCTATAATTCTTGTAAATTCATGGCATGTCAGCAATAAAAGATATTGTAAAACATAGAGGACACTGCAACAAACATATATATGCCATAAATGAAGGTGCAAATGTGCAATGACTGGACAACATATCAAGTAGCTGCTCCAAATATACTACCCTGTCATGATGCCTTTCAAGTTGCGTGCATGCAGAATTGTCTTCTAAAGCTATAAATCAATACAGATTCAATTGTAAAATTTCCAAAACATAAAAAATCAAGTTCGTCCACGATATATCAATCTCATAATAAACATGAACTTATTAAAAAGAATACGAGCTCACAGGACGCCGAAAACAACATGTTGGATCAATACAATTCCCAGTAAACTAGTACCAGCAGTCTCTCATATTGAGCTTGGCGATTTCACTATGTCGATACTCACAACCAATTCCCTGATTTAAAGAAAAACCAAACAAAAAAATCAAAAAAAATTTAGCCTAGGATCATCTTTCACTTCTATTCTGATGGACTGAATATTTTTCATAAGGAGTATTAAAAGTTTTGATTAAGAATAAAGAACGAAAATTACATGGTTTTGGTTCAAAACTAACACTGAATATCCAGATCCTTGATATGTAGTTCCATAAACATAAAAATTTCAACAAAAAAATACACAATGCGAGCTGAAAATGGAAAAGTGCAAAAGAGGAAAAACTTACTTCTGGATAGCCCAAAAGAGAAAATAAATACCTTTTTGCAAGTGAGGGGAGAAACTAAGAAATAAACGCAATTGGTGTTGCGTTTCAACAATTCTTCCTTCATTTTTTCTTTGTAAATAAAAAGTTGAAAGAAAGAGCACTGCTTGGGTTTACAATTTTATATGGCGAAAAACTGAAAAGCAAAAACCAAACGAGAGTGCATGTGAGCGAAAGAGACTGAGAGGTGAAGGCGCTGTTTGGGATTTTATTATATTTGATCATTTGTTGGAAAATCTTTAACCACGAGGATTAAACGAAGAAATTATTATATGCCATTTATACAAAATAATTTCAGCTTTGTTGGTGATTTTCAACAAAGATACTTAGTTTATCTTAGTAGTATTTGTCAACTTTGCATTTCTAACCCCATTTTTTTCTCACAAACATTTCATCGAACATCTATGCTTCACCTAAGATGATTTGTATTTAACATTACACCTTGAATCGTTGATGGTCCCGACAGTCCATTGGTCGGGTCTTCTCTCAATGAACTCTTATTCAAGTTAACACCTCCACAGAATTCAAAGTTAGATTAGAATTTCTCATGTATCCCTGACTGAAAAGTTAAGCTGGGAATGAGAAGAGAGAAGCGAAAAAGGAAATTCGAGATCGAAAAGGAAATTCGAGATCGAAAAGGAATTTGGGATTTAAAATGAAATTGAGGATTATGTTGCAAGTTTTAAAAGTTGGGGGGACCTAAATACAAGCGTCTGAAAAGTTCAGTGACCATATTGCAAACATACTAAATGTTGGAGAACTACCACGTCATCTTCTTTTAACGACAGTGTAACGGCGTCAAACGGCCGGTTACATCGGGACCATATTGCAAATGGACTAAATGTTGGAGGACTGTATTGCAAGTTTTAAAAGTTGGGGACCTAAATGTAATCTTCAGAAAAGTTCAACTATCATTACTATAATTTACCCTTATATTTATGTACTTTGGTTTGTCTCTTTCTAATTAATGCACAGAACTTGCAAGCTTTGTATTTTTAAGAGAAACTTCGAAATCTAGTTTTTGAGAGATAGGCGTGTGAAAATTATTTTTATTTTTATTTTTTAATAATGATAACTATGATAACCGAATTTCATTAACAGAAAAAAAATTATAACGCATCAAAATATAAAAAAAAAATAAAGATAGTCACTAAAATATTCGTATAAAAATAAAATATTAAATTTAAAAATACTCAAGTAAAAATAAAATATTAAACTTAAAAATATAATGAAAAAATTAAAGATAATCACTATTAAATCATCTAAAAAGGTCTAGCGGCAATATATAAAACTATCCAAATTAAGAGGGGACACTTCCGATAAATCCCTTTTCCCAGTCCCATTAACTTCCTATAAACCAAACCCTACGCGCCAAGATCTTTGTCCATTTTAGTTTTTCTATCGCCTGATTGATTTGTGAAATGTACTCTCTGAACTTGCGCGTTGCTTAACCAACACGTTTCTAATATTTTTTACTCTAACTGGTTTTCTTCTATCTAATTAGTTCTTTTACTCGGAAATTAGGGCATTCCTTTCCTCTCCTTCTCGGAAGATCGCGGGTAATAATTGGTCTCCTATACGTTTACTATCTGAGTTTCTATTTCCGACTCACCGAGTTGCCAACACGCTTGCTCGTTCTAACCTATAGTTGTCTCGCGCGCCGATGAACAACGGTTTCGAGGTGTTCGAATTCAAGGAGGAAGACGGGATTTCAGAATTGACAACTGATAAATGCTTTTGCAGATTGAGAAACCCTAATTCAGATGACCTGGCGACTATGGAATGTCAGTTCCTCGAATGCGGTAAGTTTCTAAAAAAAGTTTTTTTTTTCATTTTTATTTATTATTTTCATTTTAAAATATTTTTGGGCGCTGAAAAAAAGCCCCTATAAAACGATCGGATTTTCTGTCAAATTTTAAATGGAAAAAACCCTTACCATTTTTAGTAAGGTTAGGGCAATGAAAACGAAGTGAATTACATGTAGTTAATAATTGTATAAAATTGGTCGTATCAACTTTGCAACGAGGTTGTGGGAAACAGTTTGCAATGACTGATTGGATTTGAACTCCATAATTTAGTGAATGCGGACTCTGAATTCACATCCAGTGAACTGGAATGTTTCGGGGTCTGTGACCATTAGTAGATTACTAGATGGAGTGTTTAGTTCTAATCCCTTGTCGAGTAATGGTGACCAAGATGTGGAAATACTGCAAATTACAAACCTCTAGATTGTTTGATCGATGTGAAGATTTACTTGTGTCTTTTAAGCTGATAGTCTTTTCTTTTACTAGCATGAAAACATATGTTCCTCTTTGGATTGCTTGGGTTTGAGTTTTCTGTTTCTTTATATGCTACAGGGAATTCTCTATGGATTTAATTGTTGGTTTTCTTCTTTTCTGTATATGTGGTAATTGGGCTTAAAAGTATGAATTGTATTATCTTTGTTGAGCAATGGTTGTTGAATTTGGTGGTTAAAGTAATGTTATATGCAAAATTTATTCAAAAACTTGTATTGTAGGATAATTGTTGAATCATGTGTGGATGTTTCATATTTAATTTACGTTTTTCTGATAGTAATTCTTTTACATTTGCTTTAAGTTGCCCATGGTGCTGCTGTTCAGAGAGAGGAAATGGACAACGTTCCTTGCATAGATGTTGGTGCAATTGAAGGGGCGACTCCTGCTGCCTCACTGGGTTCTGGTGAAAATGAATTTGCCAAGGAAGGAAATACTGATCTGGATGTTTCCCCAGA